CCGTCCGGATCGCTAGCCTCTTTTGCGTTTTGGAGTTAGTGCCTATGACGCGAACATCTCTCCGTTCCCACCGCCGGTACAACTACAGTGCCGAAGTTCCGTGGTCATTTTCATATATTTAGGCGTAACAGTTGCGATACTCATTTCAGAAACCAAACTATACATTTATCCCGTCTTTAGTCAAACTGAGAAATCATCAAAATGTCGGAAGATGGTCTCGCCTTCAACTGCGCCGTCATCACTGGTGGGGGCGGCGGTATCGGCCGTGCGCTAGCCGAGTACTTGATCTCCAAGGGCAAGAAGGTCCTTCTTGCTGGACGAACTGAGTCGAACCTCAAGTCTACTACTCAAGAAATCGGTGCTGCGGGTTACTATGTTCTTGACACGGGCAAGACAGCCGACATCCCGGCTTTCGTCAAGAAAATCACCAGCGAACATCCTGAGCTCGACTGTCTCATCAACAACGCCGGTGTCCAGCGCCCCATTGACGTCTTGAAGAACGACGATTTTCTCGAAAAGGCAGACCAGGAAATTGACATCAACATTCGTGGACCGATGCATCTCTCCTTCGCCCTAATCCCTCACTTCAAAACCAAGCCCAACGCTCTCATCGTCAACATAACCAGCGGTCTAGCCTACATCCCATTCTCTGTCATCAACCCCGTATACAACGGCACCAAAGCCTGGTTACACTTCTTCTCCATGAACCTGCGCACTCAACTCAAAAACACCAAGATTCGCGTTGTTGAGATTGCCCCGCCGATGGTGGAGTCGAACCTCCATCGTGAGAGGGAGAACCCTGATGATAACAAGAAGGAACATGCGCCGCATACGTTGACAATGGAGGAGTTTATGGGAGAGATTGTGCCTAAGTTTGAGAAGGGCGATGATACAATTGGGGCGGGTATGGCGGCTAAGGCTATTGACACATGGTATGGGGCTTTTGGGGGACTGTATGAGGGTGTTGCGAAAGACTATAAGAGTGCCCTGTGAGGCTGAAACCTTTTGACCTCAACCTTATCACAGTCCGTACAATGGTCTAAGGCATCCCCACTACATAAATGAGCGAAGTAAAAAAGAACCTATGTTCATCCCTTCCAGACGGCAAGCGCAGTGACTCGAAATCGTGATCTTGCAATCCTGGTGACTAAGAAGAAAAGCATGCTTTAGAGACAATATGCATTGCGCCTAAAAGGCATAAAGATGAAAGATTCTTGTAATGCGAGTTATTCGTATCGTAAGATGCTTTCGGCTATCATATGAACCCAACTGTGATAAGACCGGGAGGTCAAGGAGGCTTCAGACCCAATGCACACAGGTAAAACACGAGTCAAAACCCATGGGCAATATACTTATTGCCCTCATGCAAACTCAATCCTTCTATTAACGGGTATCCTTGTATAATGAGCGTTGGGGCAAAGGCTAGGAGGCTTAGTCTATTGAACCAAACTCGAGAACAATCAAGATATCTTACCTTCGTCCAATATCAGCATTAAGCATACCGTGGCGGCTTCTCATCTGGATATCCACTCAAGCCCTCGTTAGGTCTATCCGCTGCCAGCGGCTTCTCGTCCTCTCTCTGTACATGCGCAGGTGGCTCAACACCCTGTTTCTTCCATTCCCGACGAGCAATCATATCGTCAACGCCGCGCATATCTTGTTTTCCCTTTTCAGCGATAGCTCTATTGTCGGCGCTATCTTTGAGAGTTTCTGGGTGTTTAGGGTCGGTGTCGAAGACTTGATCTGTTGCGTCGAGGACTTCGCCTCGTAGAGCGTCGCCGGCTCCGCGGATGCCCTTCAGGCCTGTCTTGACGTCGTCAATGATTTTTGACATTTTGATGGGTTTGATGTTTTTGACGGTTGTTGGGTCAAGGCTTGGCTTGATGGTTGGTTTATATCCTATGTTGATGTATGACGTAACCTGGGACATGACGTATCTCATCTCGGATCTCCGGAATAAACAGGATGCCACAGCCATGCGGCATGGCAACACCTTGGCTTAGTCACTTGAGATGAACTAGTTTTAAAGTGATTGGAAAATATTTGTACTATTAACGTGAATTGCTACCACAGAATGGAGTGGCTTGTTGAGGAGTCAAAGCAAATCAGCAAATGCTCCTCAAGTACTGATTGATTGATAGTTTAAGCTTATGACATTTCAACGAGACATATTAAGCCAACACATTGAAAAATCTCAATTAACTTTAGATTTTAGAAGACAATATGGGTTGCCCCCCGAGTACAGGTCGTTTGTCTATATGTAACCGAATCTGTTATAAGGGACAAAACGAGAATTTGCGGTGGCTTTGCTGGCTCTCATAATCGAAACCTTTGCTCAGATAATAACGAAGTCATATGCTGCTGTTGATTTCAAATAGCAATGCCATAGTTCACTATGTTCGGAGTTACAGTATCTACAGAATTGCATTCGAAGAGTTTCTAAATGTATACTGCGATGATATTGGTAGTGTTCACACATATCTAGAATTGATGAATAACAAGGTTTTCTTGTGCTGATAATTGTAGGTAGGAAGTCCGGGGAAGACATCACAAAAACACGAACGAAGGGATCAAGCATTACCATCCACCTCCGGCGGGGGATGGACGACAGGGATCCTGTGTACATACTAAGGTGCCTAATACGTTATTTCACTTTTCTGTATAATCAGGCTGAATAGCTAGTCCGGGGTAAACCGTAAGGTTAATAGCTATAAGCGTTTCAATGAGAGCTCCTAAGACCAGAAAAGTATATCACAAAAGCTCCATTAAAGCTCTCCCCCGCCGGAACTCCCGCCGGAATTCTTTCAAAGACATGGTCTTGTCGCTTTGACCGTTTGACGGCGGGGGAAGCCTTGTGTTCCTGGTTTAGGCGTCGGTAGATCTTCCCCGCAAACGGGTCACAAGAACAACCTCCGTATTACCAGGATCTCAATTGCCGGTTATCCGTTGCCGTACCTTTTACCAGCTAAATATTGCAGGGTTCTCCAGGAAATGTGCGTAGATCATGGGGATGGAGTATTATATAAAGGAGGGCATTTACTGTAGTCATTGTCGTGAAATAGTATCGATTCAAGCATTCTTCTTTAAACACTTCTCTACAATGTGGATTATCAAGGCCTGCTCTGTCCTCGCTGCTGTCTGCACCGTTGCTGCTGACAGCGCCGGGCCCAAGATCGACTTTTCCTCCAATACTGGATCTCCTAAGCACCTCGCTTCTGGTATTCTATACGGTATACCAGACAATACCAACCAGATTCCAGACAGCCTTCTCTCTGGCTTCGGGTTCAACTACTACCGAGGTGCAGGTGCTCAAGTCTCTCATGGATGGAGCTACGATGAAGCTAGTTTCCAACAGCGCTTTGCTAGTGCTCATAACAACTACATCGTCACGCGCCGCCACAACGGCGGTTTTGTCTTGCTGCTGAATGACCTTTGGGGCTTTGATTGCTCCTCCAATAACGACACTTCACCTGGACCAGGTGATAATGGTGATTGGTCATCTTATGACAAGTTTGTTCAGGCCGTCATTGCAAATGTCAAGAAGTATAAGATGCAGAAAGGTTTGGTCATTGATATCTGGAACGAGCCGGAGGGGGGCTGCTTCTGGGGCCGGAGCATTGATCAGTGGCTTCAGATGTGGGGTCGTGGCTGGCATCAGTTCAAGTAAGTAACAAGTAACCTCTGAAGATCAGATGCCACATAGACTGACTGGCTATTCAGTGATGCTTTCGGGAAGAACGTGTTGACATCTGGACCAACTCTTGCGGGTCAACCAGGAATAACCTATGACTGGTGGACCCAGTGGGCTCAATTCGTCAAGAATAATGCCTCCATTCCTGACCAGTACGCCTGGCACGAGGAGGGTGGCTCAGGCTCCAACTTCGAGTACAGCTACGGCGTCTTACAACAGATCCTCACAAAATACGGCCTTCCCCAACGCCAAATCAACATCAACGAGTACGCCACTTTCAATGAGCAAGTCCCGGCCGGATCCGCATTCTGGATCTCTCAGTTCGAGCGCCGTAATGCTATCGGTCTTCGTGGAAATTGGCTAGGAGGCACCCAACTTCACGACCTAGCCGCCAGTCTTCTCTCCAAGCCCGATCCCTCGAATTACGCTTCTACGGGGTACTTTGCCAATGGAGACTGGTGGGTGTATAATTACTACTCGCGTAACATGACGGGACACCGAGTTTCGACTTCTGTGTCTTCCGATGGTCAACTTGATGCATATGCGACCGTGGATACTACGGCGCGCACCGCTAGAGTATTGCTTGGCTGCCACCCGCCTACCACTGGTACTTACGATGTGACATTTTCTGGTCTGAAAAAGTTGGGTTTGCCGTCTTCTGGAACACTTCAGGTCAGGACTTGGAAATTTGCCGTGGGTAGTGATGAGCACTACAGCCAGATGGGACCTCCTGAAGATTTGGGCTACTATGGTCACACTATTAGCAACGGTCAGGTTACTTTGCCGTTCTATCAGACTGACGAAGTGACTACATACGCATGGGAGTTCAAATTCTAGTTCTTCTTGTGTATTCTGAGTTGTCGGCACACGTCGGGGTCGGGAGCTGGGGACGATCGATTTGTGTGTTGTGAAGGATGTGATGGAAGTGTTTTAGGTAGTGGAGAGCAAGAGTATTAGCCAGTAGTGAGTTCGAATCATATCGCGACGAGATGTATCAAGCAGTGTCACTATCGATCAGTAATCAACTACTGTATCATTCTTGAGCCGACATCCTATTATTATTCCCACTCTGCTGGTATTTCAAGTTGGCAATAAGGTGAAGTGCTCATATGCTAAACTTACCCTGTATTTACCTCGCCCTAATTGGTCTCTTTAGGTGTTAGAGGACGCTAACGCCCACGTGGTAGCGCTCTTTGGCTGCCGGAGCTAGCGGCATCAGTCAGCAATGACGCCAACGATTCACGATGCGTTGTTTACAAACCTCGGACATTCCTTCGTAACCTCAACATGCGCCTTTAAGGCTAGAAAAATGGTCATTTTGACTTCAATTCGAAAGTCGCCAGCTTATTTATACGCCAAAACATACTGTCTTTGCTCATTGGTCTCCCTCGTCCAAGCGACGCCTGTTACATCGAGGGTTCGGGTAACTCATACAAGATCTCGCTTTCGGAACGGTCGAGTTGTGGTTTCGTTGCCTACAATAAAGGGAAAGGGCCATACAGACTGTTACAGATCACCGTTTAAAGTCTCGTTCTCGCAAAGAAGTAGGGAAATCGTTCAAAGATGGTATCAGAGAGCTGTTGACTTGGCATCTGTCAAGACGCTCCTGCAGAGGGACGAGACGGACTTTGCAACGTACCCGGAACTGCAATGGGATGCCAAAGTACGACAAGGCTCCTATCTTCATTACGAAGAACAAAAGTTCATTGAGCTTCGCAAGTTGAGGATATCCTCACAAGGAGAAGATTACTTGCATCGCTTCCTAGATCTCTCACCCAATGAGAAAGTCAACCCCAAAGATGTCCCGCTCATCGCACTGGGCGGCTCAGGTGGTGGGTACAAGGTGATGTATGGATTCGCCGGGTTCATTTCAGCTGCCAAGAAGCATGGGCTATGGGATTGTATTACCTGGACTGCCGGCGTTAGTGGAAGCTGCTGGACTCTTGCGGCTTACTACACCATCGCTCGACATGATGTACAACGATTGATCGATCATTATCTCACAGTGGCGAGTGAACTTGCACACCCCATGAGTATCCATGCTTTGAACATGGTCGCACGAAGTAAAAGGGGAGTTTATTTTCTCATTGGTCCCCTGGTCAGCAAAGCCCAGAAGAGCATCATAGGCTTGGGAATCATGGATCTTTACTCTACTCTTACGGCAACGTATCAACTTCTGTCCAGAGAGCCAAAGGGCAGACTGAGCAGAGCGACATTTCAGTGGTCCAAGATCTGGCATCGATCGGGTATAGACAAGGGATTGGAGCCAATGCCGCTTCTTACAGCGGTGAGACGCGTGCCGAAGTATTCATACGAGCCAAAGACAATATCAGCAAAGGCTAGGGATGTTAAGAAACAACCGACATCTCGGCAACTTGACTCTATCGAAGGAAACTATCAAGTAAACTCAAGAGCATCTGTAAACAGGCGACCTAAGAAGCTCTTCCAGTATTTCGAAATCTCGCCCCTCGAAGTGGGCAGTCCAGATCTCAACCGTTATGTCCCAACTTGGGCATGGGGGCGAACCTTTATCTCTGGATATTCAGTGGATCGTCGTCCTGAGCAGCCATTCTCGCTCTTACTGGGTCAGTGTACCAGCGCTCCGGCGGGTCCTTTGGCGGAGTGTATTAAAGCTCTGTTGGTCACTATACCCAAGAACACAATGGTGGCACGATTGGTCACTGTCTTCAACAACCTACTCCAGTCGAAGCGCTTTGAGGGCTTTTGGGGAAATCCGATTCGTGCGGGGCATGATCCGAATCCGTTCTATGGACTGGAAAGACCTGTTGGGATGCGAGAGCATACTTCAGAGCATTCCACGTATATTTCACGAGTTGCTCATCAGCGTCAAAGAGGGATTCATAGCAGCGACAAATCCGTTTCCGATCCTGCGGACTTACAGTCACATTATTTTCCGCCATGGGAAGCACAGGGACGTACACGACTCATGGACTCCGGTATGGCAAATAACCTGCCGAACCATATTCTCGCCCGACCAGAACGAGGCGTTGACGTTTTCATATCGTTCGATGCATCTTCGGACATTCACACTGGAGCAGCAGTTCAGCGACTGCACCATTTCGCAGCCGACTTCGACATTGAGCTGAGAGATGTAACGCGGGAGTTCCACAAGCCACAGCGGAATATAGCCTTGTGCTCAACTCATGGGCTGGAAATTGAATCTCGATATATAGATCACTACGCCAGAGTCTTTCATGGCACGAGGCCGAGTGGGCAAGATATGTATATCATCTACTGCCCGCTCTTACCGAATGCCTTGAACCCGGATTTCAATCCTACGGTGAGTTTAGTAACTCCTGCGGAGGAATGTGCTGATTAGCCTAGACTTCATCGTTTTCAACATCGACCAATCTCATGTGGACGCCCGATCAGGTGAAGAGCGTTCTAATGACGGCAGAAGCGAACGTTTCAAACTATGCTATTGATACCATAAAACGGGTAATAATGAAGGTTTACGACGAGAAAAAGAAGCATAGACTTAATACACATGGCAAAGAAACCTAGATAAGATGACAATAGACTCAGCTTTGGACAACATCGTTAAGCCCAGCCCGCAAATACATGGCCTTCGCTAGATTTCCAGGATCAGGCTTGAACCATCCCTGACATCTTGGACATAAAGCTCTCCTGACGCTTCCTCTGAAATCAGCTAGCGCGGAATTGTCAAGGCATTTTGGGCATCGATATTCAAGCTCGAAAATACTCTCGTGTTGCTCAGCACGACGCCGCAGCTCCTCATCCACTCTAGCGTCAAAAGCTTGTCGTTCGGCATTCGTCAATTCGGGTTCAATCCAATAAACGTCGTAGAAGCGCAAAGATCGATCTTTATTCCCCAGAACAGCAGGATTCTCAGTTTTGAAGACTCCGTTATCACCCCATGCACTTCCCCATGAGTTTAAAAAGGTTAGCGAGTCGGGGCTGCAGCTGACCAACACAACGGCGTGGCCACCGCCGCACTCTTTGTCAACGTCAGGGGCCATCTGCGCTTCTGTGAGAACGGTAGTACGACTTGCAGACTTTCTGTGAAAATGTTTAGAAAATGTGTCCCAGCCATCCTTTGATAGCCCAAACGTAGCAAGCACTGGGCGACGCCGGAGCACTGCTTCGCGAGCGCCTTTCTCGTCTACCTCTCGGAATTTGAGGGGGCGGTACCAAATACACGCATCGGACAAAACTTCTTTAGTAGGCTGGCCCGCTTTTATCTCTGGGTATTCAGATAAAATTCTTTCGCGTATCTCAATGAAAGGAGGAACGCCACCTTCTCTGGCGACAATGCGAAGTAAAGCCATGTGTACCACAGAGGCGACAGCATGCGCGTAGCAAATACCCCTTGTACCCTGATTAGTAGGTCTGCGGTGAATGGCAAGATGTTCGTTGTTGATGTAATCGTCAAGACGTATTCTGCCAACGATATCCAGTAAGGCATCTGCTGAACCGAACCGGGCAGAGAGCAGCAATGTACAAAACTCTTCCAGCGCTGTGACAGTGCAAACAGTGCAAAATAGGGCAACCTCCCCGGCTGGAGGAATTGTCCAGCCAGCAGCGGCTAAGACAGGAACTGGATGTGTCAATGCATGGATTCGCTTCGACATATGGAAGAGATTCCGGGTGCCCTCGTCCCAGAGCGGATTCGCCTCATAATACAAGGCTCGCTGCGGGCCAGAACGATCGTCTGTAAGTTTGACTGTTGCGATTGATACTTCCTCCATTCGAAGATCATGAGCGGCCGTTGATGGATCGCCATCTGTTGAAATACCATCCGACATGAGTACGAGTACGCGACGTTTTGCTTCAGGTTTGCTTCGAAAAGCATCCCGGGCCTTCTGTAGAGCGTAGCACATTGGCGTAAGACCATACATGTACTGGCGAATGGCGTCAAATAGATTGTCGTTATCCTCTTCCGACACATTTCTTGAATCAGTGTCCTCGTGGTCTAGCCACTGATCCTGGAGCCGCTGAAGTATATCCACGACTTCAGAAACGGGAAGAGGTACAAAGTTCTCAAAATCCGATAGCCAGTCCCTTTGGATACGTCTGGCAAATGCTAAAGCCTCAGATCTCTCGACCCTTGAGTCTTCGATTGAATTACTAGCCATCTCGCCGGCCATAATAGTAGCAAGATATATAGCAGGAGCAGCAACAATGCCCCCAGGGACGATCACGGATACGGCGCATCCGAGGGCTCCTCCAGCAACTGCGCTATATTGCCGACTCGACGAGCGTAATCCGGCTACCTCCTCTTCAGGTGGAATGGCATCAATGAATTGTTGTACTTGGTCAGGATGAAGTTTCAAATGCGCGTCCACGATTCGAGCCTCTTGGCTACTGAGTTTCGTTTTTATGTGTCTTGATATATATGACACGTTGTTCGCGTTCGCACGTGCAATGAGAAGATCATGGCCGGAAGAGTTGTTTTCCGAATCGTTCAGAAGAGCATCTGCGATCCCACATAAGTCGGCTGCTTGAGGGTTAAGGTAATCCTCAAATGTCCGTAGTCCAAAGACGCCAACGAACATGAAGGCACTAGAATTCTGCTGGCGCTCTGCTTTTGCTAATTTGAGGGCCGCTCGAAGGACAGCTCTGAGTCGATCACCAGCTGGCTCATTCGATTGGCCTGGCTCTAAGGCGCTGCGCATTGAGCCCGAGACGTCGAGCAGACAGCCGACAATAATTTGGGGTGCTGGGTCTGGCATGATAGATAAATCTAGTAACCTGTGACGATTTCGGTGTTGACGCTCTATAAGACTGTAGTAACTGATAGAAAAGACGAGATGCTTGTTAGCCTGAGAAATGCTGCCTAAAAACCATTCTCGTTGCTTAACACATCTGGGTATGCACATCTCAAGCGGGGGTTGAAAGGGGCCTCCTTACTGGACGCCAGTCAACAAATTGATGCAAGATGATGTGGCAGACACGCCCCTTTCCCCCACAGGACTCTTCCTATATAGAAAGTGCTTATCTGGTATGTCTGGAGTATCTAGCGATTGTAATACAAATAGGCACTGAACAAAATCAAGAACAATGTCTTCGTTTATGAATCGACCATTATCTACCCCACGATCCTCCGTTTGCTATCTATCGCTGAATTAGACAATAGCGGTAGCAGTGTTTTGACATGCTACCTAACAGAGGTCTCTCTGGACTCTCCCATACTCAATTATCGCGCCCTCTCATACAAATGGGGAGTGTCGGCACGAACTACTCGGATACTGGTTAATGGGGAATGGCTAGTTGTCAGACTTAATATTGAGGATTTCCTACGCCACCTGCGACTGAATCTGTACTGCTGGGACCGGCAGTGCGGCTGCCAGAAGGAATCTCAGACCCCAGTGCCTCTCAATGACCGATTCACCTTCCCAACATTACTGTGGGTTGATGCTGTTTGTATCAATCAAGATGACCCGGATGAACGGGCACAGCAAGTAGCCCTCATGCAGCAGATCTACTCTCACGCATCGTCAGTCCTTATATGGCTTGGAAAGGCAAATGAGCAGACTGTTCCTGCATTTCGTCTTCTTTTTGGGCTGTCAGATCTTTCCAGCTCGTGTCCAGGAGATCAAAGGGATTGCATGGCCCATGTCATTAAGGACGAATGCTTTAAAGGTCATTGGCTAGCACTAGGCGAGCTTCTTCAACGGGAATGGTGGTACCGTGTCTGGACCATTCAAGAGGTTGTTTTGGGTTCCGAAATTCATGTCGTCTGTGGCCCATTCACGGTAGGATGGGGCGTGATCAGCAAGGCTATCGCAACTTTCCAGCTATGCTACCATTTTATGGATGAGCTGATGGAAGCCACAGCTATCTCTAAGACGTACCACTACTTTTTCCCACTCCAGAAGGGTGCGTATAGGATTTCCGTCATTGATTGTCTCAAGGCCGACACAAGACAAAACAGAGACATAGGTCCTCACAGCGCCCCTCTGTTGGTACATATTTAGCAGATTTACTAGACAAAATAAGAGACTACGACGCAACGGATCCCAGAGACAAAGTATACGCTATCATCGGATTACTGAACCAAAGTGGGTACAAGTCACCTCTCATGGTCAGTTACCAAATTACTGTTGAAGACCTTTACATCCAAGTTGCAAAGGTCATACAGCAAGGCAGTGAGACACTGGATATCATGAGCCAAGTAGAAGTTAAGCCTTCAACCCACCAAAGTATACGCTCGGGGTTACCTTCATGGGTTCCTAACTGGACTGTGCGTTCGATCTACAAGTCAACGTATGGGAATGCACAGTATCCAAGGTCAAAACAGCCAGACAGTGGGACCCCCGGTGATCTCAAGTCAAGTTTTAGCTTCACTGGAGACTCCAAGGCTCACTGCCGATTCCTCTCGAATAAGAGCCAAATGGTTGTCGAGGGCTTTACATTCGACACCATAGCCAAGATAGAGACGCGTTTCGTTGATCTGGAGCCTGGCATAAAGCTAGAGGGGGTAAAGCGGTACGGCTACAGGATAGGCTGGAAACCACCAAGCGCCTGCGATCAGTTCGAATGTCACGATTACTGGCTTGACTGGCTTGGCTTTCATGCAGACTTCCCTAGTCCTGCGGCCAAAATTCCACGACGAAATGGAGGAGACATTCGACGCGTGGACACCAGAGTCTTCAAGACACAAGTCTCAGGTGTCCTGGGAAGCACAGACGTATCAATAAGAGTCGGAGATAGCATATGTGTTCTGATGGGCGCCAAGGTTCCTAATATTCTGCGGCCATGTGGTAACTCGTGGGTACTTGTTGGTCCCTGGTAAGTACTGAATAAACAGCCTGTGCCATTACTGATAATTACAGCATCCTCCTTGATCGCGGTATCATAAACGGCGTGTTGATGAAAGGTTTGGGTGTTGGAAAGTTTACGCTTCGGGATTTCATCATTGAATAATTGCGGAGAAGAGAATTAGGCATTGTAGTGCTAAGCTGTTACTATTTTGGTGGAGCAGGCGTTTTGGGTGGTGGCTACAGATACTATCTGTTACGTGGTCTGATCGGCTAAAATACAACGCTATGACCGCTGTGCTAAAAGGTCTGCCACAAGCCCGTTAGAGGAAGTGGTCTGTAACAACAGGCATATCACATCATTTATTATTTAAGGAAATACTAATGTCTTCTTAGAGTTTCTAGACTTGCTGATGGACTTTATGAAACTTGCTAAATAACAAGTTCATATAAAAGAAAGATAAAGCATGACAGACGCAATGTCAGCACTGGCGTTTTTATCAGCAGGGTGTCCAAACGAGCCGGCCAATTATAGTTGCTAAACTCTAACACGCTAAGCTAGTCAAGAGGCTGAGTGGGGACCCGCATATGCCAACTTGTAATAACCCCTTCAAAGGTATAAGTACAGCAGACGAGCTTGCGTTTTCATTCCATTATCCTTTCTGTCTAGCTTTATCTCTTCTTCCTTAATACCAGGCCAGTCCCGAGCCATCTTGAGCAGCCATGTCGGAATGTCACGCTCTTCGAGTCCCAAACACACAATGGAACTTCTGCCCCTCCGCAGCGGCGTCCATATTATTCATGCTCCTCTTCGCCATCACAACCATCATCCACCTCATCCAAGCTATCCACTACCGCTCCGCATACTGCTGGGTCATCATAATGTCGGCCTTCTGGCAGGTCTTCACGTACATCTTCCGCACCGTCAGCATCTACAACCCAGCCAGCTTTGACTACTACGCCACATGGTTCGTCGTCATCCTCGTTGCGCCGCTGTGGACCAATGCGTTTGCCTACATGGTATTTGGGCGTATGGTATGGTGCTATACACCTAATGGCCGATTGCATGGTCTGAAGGCCTGGCAGTTCGGATTCGTCTTCGTTATCCTCGATATAATTGCCTTCATTGTCCAGGTTTATGGTGCGGCCCAGGCTGCGACTGGGAAAGACAAGACGTTGCAAGAGAAGCTAGATGCTTTGCACATATACATGGGCGGAGTAGGGATCCAGCTGTTTTTCATTCTCCTCTTCACTGTCTTCGGGATCCGTCTCTTCCGCCAACTCCGCAAATCGAACGAAGACATTAATTCTGGCACGCAGAAGAAGCCTGTAATGATGCTGTTTTATGCCTTGTTCCTTGCACTGGCTCTTATTGTGGTAAGTAGAATCCGGGTCAATCGATGAGATCACTAACTAACGAGATGCAGCTGCGTATTATTTTCCGCCTTGTAGAATACTCTGAAGGCCTTGACAGCACGATACCACGACACGAAGCCTACCAATATGCGCTGGACTCTCTGCCCATGCTGATTGCACTGGTAGTATTTAATGTTGTTCATCCGGGGCGCGTGATGGGTAGGGAGGAGACCATGCCAAAGTTTTGGCAGAGGAACAAAGGAAACGCTAAGGTGCGGTTACGCGATGTACCTCGAATCACGCCCTCCGAGGATAACTGATATTCCGATCCTTTCAGGACCGATTCGAGCGTGCTTTGACATGAATCTCACGTGGATTCTATTTAAGAAAGCCTAGGTAGATTCCTCTAGGAGACTCTTGTTCCTGTTCAGTTACAGAAAAGAACTTATATCTCTAAGATTCTATCATATATATCTGTGTGATATCTACCACGCAATAGGCTCTTCCCACTCTCTATCTTCTAGACCGTATCGTATCATGGCTTCTCTCTCCCTCGGTCCTAGAGACACAAGTACACTTCTGACCCTTCGCGGTCCAGGAACGTCTTTGCAGCTATGCACGTTCAAGTCTTCCTCTTCGGCTTCCATAATTCTCCGTGCGACTCGTCCAGTCAGGCGGCTGCTCCAAACGCCCTCTTGGGCCTGGTTGGACATCAACAAGGAGATTGCTCTCCGACGTATGGCAGGATCGCGGCACCATGCGACCGTCATGAACAAAACCGGTACAGCTCCAATATCGAGGTGAAATATTGGGGCGGCTTGTGTTTCTTCGAAGGTCAAAACTCGGCTGGCGCAGTTTACTAACTCCTCGAATTCGTTGGTATAGCTGTCAAGGCTGAGCACGTATTGGTGGTTTTCTTTATTCTCCCATGGCAGGACGATGTTGAAGTACCGACGGTGTAGATCTATGAGTGCAAGGGACCGCTGCTCGCTAGGAGTGAATGGGACTTCACCACGGGAGATAATGAATCTGTCAAGAGCTTGGGACCATTTAGAGAACATGGCGACGAGTGCAGAACTTGTTCTTTCTGCCAACTGTAGTGCTAGTATAGCATTGAGAGCTTCCCTAGCTTCCCGTAGGGAATTAAATGAGTGGTTGGTGTTGAACGGCGTCAATTGGAAGCCGGAAATAAATTTAAGGCAAAGTTCGGGCCTCATGTCACCCACCATCTAAGGACAGAATGTTAAAATAGCCACATTTACATCGGCTGATATACTTACCAAAGCTACCTGCAGAGCTAGCCGCGTGAACAAGGTTCGCATATGGTCGCGAATATCACTTAAATCGGTCGCTTGGCTATGCTGCACGTCGATCACTTGATACTCGCTCATCATCCGGAGGCCATCCTTGAATAATCGAATTGCTGTTCCAGTATGTCCTTGCAGGATCTGTTTATAGTGAGCAGCCTGGTGATGCGAGTCGAGATGGAGGTTACACTTACCTCAATACAAATGAAGACTAAGCATGACACTAAATGGACATGCGACAGCGATCTGTGAGAATCTCGTAGCTCCTTGATGGATAAATTGTAATACTTCAGTGCAAAAGGAATATCGTTTCCAGGCACACCATTCATGTAGGCCTCGTGGTATGCCGAGAATGAAACCAGCGCGTGGGAAATACTGGGCTCGGACTGGGCAACCTGTAGTATGCTGATCCCCCAGAACTCATCGGGGAAGAACGATGTCAATTGCGACAGGGTACGCTCCATAAAGAATTGCATAGACCGCGCTTCCTGGGAGTTGTTGTATCCGCATGTAACGATCTGTATTCGCGACTGGACCTGTGATTGCTGCTCCAAGGCTGTTTCTCCATAGCCGTCACAGGTGCGGCCGGTTGACGTGCCTATCACAACCGTCAGCTTTACCTAGGCTAGCACTCGAAGCGTCACTCACACCTTGTGCATGCGGGTCGTGCTTCATCACATTTGACACGACGGACTAGATGATGTAAGCAACCTGTGCTGATCTTGACGTTTGGGGGCTCACTTCTGCGTTGTCCATTAGTACTTGGCTCTCATAAATCTCTGGCCCTCAGCAGCGCCGACTCACTTGCAGGTCAGGCAGCCAAGCCGGCTCCTCTGTCCTCTGGCACGCACGCGCTGCCCCGGCTTCACTCTCGTCATTGGCACGCTTTGCTTGTTGATAGGATAATGTAGAATCCTCGGCCGTGTCTTCCGTGTCTTGCACGGGCTCGACTCATTTCATATGTTGGCTAGCACGGACTGAGGGTCCGGTGGAGATGCCCAGACGAGCGAGCCAATTATCTGTCGTTGACCGATTTCTAATCAAGAGAGAGAAACAGTCTATACCCTCATGAGATTAGTCTTCTGCACCAAACATCACGCACTAAGAAATGTTAAACTTCCTAGTTAATAAACAGGATAACATATGTATTAACAGAACAAGAACTAATAAGAGGCTCTCAATAACAGCTGACGAGACAAACTTAGTCTATAAATATGCTACCGATGTCTTTGAAACTAAAACCTTGGCCTCATTTTCAAGCATGCTACTATCAATGTTTCTTCCTATCAGATTCCAATGCACGAGCACAGCCCGTTGCCGCTGGTCTAGCGATGCGTCGGCAGTCGTCGCAGCGAAGAGCAAGCTTTATATTATCAGCCCAGTCTCGACTCTGTGTGGTATATTCAAAGAACTGGTATCTCTTTGTGCTCTGGGCAGAACCGAGTCCATACATGGGAATTGAAGAGAGCGTGGAGTCAGTCCATTGAGCCGTGCCAAGGCGTGCCCTTCTTGACCGCGAAGTCAGAACGGCTTGTCGTGTAAGTCTTCCAATTAGGGACCCAATCTTACTTCCCCGGTTTGCATTGTCTGCTCAGCCAGTCCGCCCATGTGCGAAGAGTCCTTTGTTGAGGCTCTTTGTGAATCCTCCTGCTCTCTGAAAGTGATCAAGGCCGATATATGTGACACATAGGTCGCCCATAAATTGGTCGCATTTATCAGCGTCGAAAAAAAAGTCCTCAAAGTCTGTCGAGCCTGGGGTGAGAAGGTATTTCTCAATCGAGTAGTGGCTAGAGTGCACAGTATGTAACTCAGAACTCTTGCACGAATATAAGATTGTCGCGTAGGCGATCTATGCCACTATCAAAATCGTCCTAGTCCAGTATCCGCTGACCAATTTCGACCGAGAGAGCCTCGCGAAGTTAAATCAAGGGTTAACGGCTTTATAAAGAAAAACAATATGGATAAGCTTAGATGCTTTCTAAATAATGCCTGTATTGCTTTTCTTTACTGCTACACGCCAAGAGCACGGTTAAACGTGACCAGGATACCTCGCAGCACCTATCTGATGTCCTTATGAAACTTTCGGGAACAAAATTCATCAATTACGAGATTCTTATACGTGCAAAAAAGGATAGCCTCGCTGACGCTCGCAATCGAATATAGGAACAGCCCGGTGCGGGGGTCGAACCCGCAACCTTGAGATCGCGTACTCGTAAGAGTCTCACGCTCTACCGATTGAGCTAACCGGGCGTGGCTCTTAATTGTTGAAAGACGCTGCTCGGATTTGTCATCATGTTGGCCAGTCACTCTGGCAGGAAACTTCAGATCTGCGCATCACCATTGAGGGCGTTGCCTAATTTCGTCGATGGACACAGCAAGAAATTGGCCAAACATTCATGTTTGACGTTCATCTTATGCTGACTCTGTAGGCAGTTTGTCGCTAGACATGAGGTGGTTGGTAATTGATTATACGTGAATGCACCAGCGACAAAAGGTAAGTATATCAATCATACTGACATTCATGGTAAATACTCTAACTCGCTTCTCAGGTCATCAATATCCATTATAAATTCCAATAAACTCTCCCACAATTGCAAAACTCAAACAGTAAAGCGGAACCTCGGGCTTCTCTCACCCATAGACTCAATCTCCTCCTCAGTCTTGCCCTCAAGCAAGTAATCCTGCTTACCCTCATCACGAAGCTTGTTCTGTCGCTTGAAGTGAAGATGGAGGATAATGTTGAGGACTAACGACACAACAAGCATCCCCATGCTGGCACCGTACCCGGGGCGGTAGTGTGGAGCATACTGGCTAGAGAAGAGGAAGGGAGATGCGACGCCAGAAGCGTTACCGATGGTCAGATGCATACCCGTTGAGAAAGCTCGCTTTCCGTAGCGAGGGTTGTTGGCGGGAACCCAGGCGAAGGAAATACCGGATGAGAGAAAGATGCCGATTGAGACGAAACAGCAGCCTGCGTATGAGACAGCGGCGCCTTTGCCAGCGATAAGCATACCATAACCAATGATGGCGGATCCGATGCCTCCCATGACGAAGAAGCCTCTCTTCTGGGTGATGTCACTGAGACGAGCGCCGATGAGATAAGTGATGGCTCCGATAGCGTAGACGGGGACAGTCATGGCTTGGACCTCAGCTGATGACCAGGTACCCATAGCCTTGACAATGGTGGGCAGGAAGACGACGAATGAGTAGAGCATAGCCAAGGTAGGGAAGAGAGCGAAGCAGTAAACCCAAGTGGTCCAGTCCTTAACACCATCAAGAACATCCTCCTTGAGAAGCTCTCGGTTGTTTCTAGCCCGACCGACCTGCTCATCATGAATCTTCTGCAGGTTGATCTTATCCTCCTCAGTAAGAAACTTAGCAGTCTCAGGGCTGTTAGGCAGAACAAAGGGAATGACAACACCGGTGGCGATGGTAGGTGCACCATTAATAAGGATGATCCATCGCCACGCACTCCAGCCCATGGCACCGTCCATAAAGCTAATGCCGTACGCGACAAGACCACCAGCGACACCGGAGATGGCAGCAGTGGAGAAGAAGTATGCGATACGAAGTGCAAGACTCTTGCGCCCGTAGTACATGGAAAGGTAGAGCACGACACCAGGGAAGAAACCGGCTTCGCAAAGACCGAGGAGGAGACGGCAGGCGACGAGGGCGCCGAGATTATTGACCCAGGCGCTGCAGGTGGCGACGATGCCCCAGGCGATGGTGAGGCCGGCGAGATAGTAGGCGGGTTTGAGCTTCTTGATGATGAGATTGGAGGGGGACTCGAAGAGCTGAAGGGCATTAGCTTCGGAAAGAATGGGGGAGCCTTTGGGGAGCTTACACAGTAGGTGACGAAGAGTACGGAGACGGAGAGTTGGAACTCGTTGCCTGTAAGACCCAAGTCTTCTTCCATGCGGAACAGACGAGCATTTCCAATGTTGACTGCAATCTGTTAGACCCTTCATTGTCTAGCAGAGTAGATTGGCATACCTCGATCCATCATATTCATCAGATACACCCACATAACCATCGGAATAATGCGATAGTCAAGCTTTCTGAGGATAGCCCTCTCAGTCTGCTTATCAACATACTCATAGTTCTCACCACGCGCCTCCTCAATACCCCTCGCCTCAGCCTTCATATCAGAGCCAGAAGACGAGTTGGGGCGCGTAGGCTCTTGATGAGCGGAGACATTATCATGTGCTGTCATCTTGGCTACCAAGCTGAAATCAAGAAAGCCGGGGAATGAAGAAAGGGGAGTAGTTTCAACCCTGAGAAGACGATGTTGGATGATCGACGGGAGAGAAAGGGCGGTGGATGGGGGACCGGTTTTATACACAAGCCAAGATATTTCTTACCCCGTGGGAAAAGATATCTGGACCTCCCCACAAACCCCAAGGTGTCTTCTCCATATCGCAGATTCTGTTATCCAACGCCAAGCATATGCAATTGCCACGCGAGGCTTGTCTTGGCAGCTGTAACGCCTTATCCAATCGCTCTCATTCGTGTGACAGCCTCGGACAATATCCACACGAGGGTTACAGCCAAGGCTCGCCATATCTCCTTCACAATCTCGACCCATATCTGCATCTTGCAAGTAGATATCTTCTCATGATTCCCCGGATTTTGCTGTCCTCCCCACATGCCAAGGCTGTGACAACGGCTCCGCGTTTTGGCAATGCGTCTTTTTCTGGGGTTGACAGCTCAAAATATCGCCAGATCAACCCACGAAGCTGAAGGTGTAGTAGCGATCTCAGGGGCGGCTATCATTTGAGGCTGCAGCATTCGACATAGCCGACACGTGGCGGACGAGCGGAAGAATTACCACATCGATGGCAAGCTTATGCAGATGGGGTTTTTCATCTTGGCTGTTTCTTGGCGCTCCGAATGCAAAATTTGGGGTGAGAAGAGAAGAGAGAGATGTGCAGTTTTAGGCGAGATGTGAGACTATGCTGACCCCCAAACTTTTGACGTGGCCTCCTCTTTGCTCCGCCTTTTGTGCCCCAACTTATTCATGCTTAAAATAAAGACGGCCAATAGGAATGAGGTTAATGTGTTGAATCATCGGGGTAGGTGAGAGTCCATCTCCTCGACTTGTTCCAATCTATTGTCCTCTCTTGATAGTGATTCAAGTGCCATCGGCCAAGTCCGGGGTAAAAAAGCACGGATGGGGCACATCAGATCATCTCAGATCACAGCATTCGACTTTTTTTCTTCTCACATCTGCATCTGAATCTCTAAAAACAGAAAAAAGAGCTCTCGCCGACCCCATGGGGAACACCATACGAGAGGATGGAGACGAGTTGGAGAATGCGGCCGTTTCGACGCGCCAGCCAAGACTGCCAAGTCTGCCAAGCGTACTCAAGTCGAACGAGTTTTTTTCTTCTGGTGGAGCGATCTCTTGGGTACTCGTCATGGTATTTCCCTGTTCCGTTGTTGAGAATGAGGGCTTTGTGCCTTTTCTTTTCTCGGCGTCCGGTAACCCGGGAATCGTGGGGATTTGCTTGGCATGTCGAACCATCGCGGGGAAGGGAACAAGAGTCTGGGGAATATAGATTTGATTTGAGTGAATTAATGCTGATGTTGAGCTGAGGTTTGAGGTACATCCTGCATAGCCAAAATTGTAGGTTGCCATGTGGCTTTTGCATGATATTGAATCACGCTTGTAATTTGACCGCCGCGTTTACTACCCGGGCCATCTGCCGTGAGGGGAAGCGCTTTCACTGACAAACAGAAAATTCTAGTGTCTTGCA